TATCGTAAAAGCACCCGTGTCGACGATAGCTTGACAGCCTTCCGAGCAAGAGATGTAATTTTTTACTTGAATTCTACAGTGGGATATAGCATTACCAATTAGCTGACATATAATCCGTGGTTGACATATGTACGTATAATTTAGAAAAAAAACTACATACTTATCCATGGTAATTTGCCAGTATCCGTTTTCAGGATTAACATCAACATACGTAAACTTGCCCTCGTAATGGGAAAAATCGGTGCCACCCAATATCAGTTCACCGCCAAACACGTCCGTGAGATTTCTGTATAGGTTGTATATTTTTTACATTGTTTATACATTTGCATTTTACATTGCATGGAAAGACAAAGTATGTAATTTAAAAAATAGTATTAAACACACGTGAGGCATACGGAAAGATACATACCGATTTAGATAGAAGCTAAAAATTGGTCGGGATACCACTTGTTCATCAATCATGTTTTGGAAGACAAGCGCATTAAGGTGAGATAAGGCTGGATAACCCATCCCCAGAACGCCGTCGCATTGTGCAGAGTCCCAAAAACTTGTCAAGAAATCGTGCGCTACTCCGAATGTCTGGAATGAAACCTTAAGGCCAGCAATCTGCGAAACGTTGATATTATTAATAAAGTATAATTGCGCGCGTTTTTTTCGGAGAATAATCGTAGTCATAATCGTAGATTATGACTATAATTAGAATTAAGTCGGACCATTTATTTGACGATGACTTACAATTACTACATCAGTAGACAAGGACTGCCACACACGGCCATCTTTGTAATGAAGATTAAATGCACCGTGTGATATATATGTGGTGGACTTTGTATGATCAAACTTATTAAGTTTCACTGCAAAAAGTAATAAATATAATTAAATCAGTTAATATTGAAAAGTCTAGAAATATAAAAATTTCCCTTTATTAATCTAAATATATAACTAACAGTAGTTAAATCATCAAATATATTCAGTTAAATCATCAAATATATATTTATGTTTATATTTTTTGTTTTAACATGTGAGCTGTTTTGTATAAAAAATTATTTGTATCTTTAAAGTAGGTGTGCTAAATAATGTAAATAAGAGAGTATGTATATAATATTTACCTTACCACTGATTCGAATCTTTGAAACGGTTGCTTTAAAGATTTTATAACTTTACTTGAAATGTAAATGAAACAGATACAATTTTACAGCTTTATTCTTATCTTATATTTTTACTTGACATCAATCATTAAACGAGAAAAAAATAATTAAGATTATTTTAATACTTGAAACATTGATTTTTTTTATACAAATGTACATATAAAAATAATAGAATATCGGGGAGGTAGCGATGTTATGATATACTCACAGCAAGCAGGTTGGCTGACGTTGCAAATTTTGGATAGTACCCAGAGATCTGAAGAACCAGTGTCGAAAAGTACATTAAATTTTTGCGGTGGCGTACCAATTTCGATAGTACCGTAGTATTGAATATTTTTCCAATTAATCAGAGGTACGGCTGCCGTACCCGAAAGGAGTCGTGGGTATGTCTTGTATAACGGAATTCTTGAAGCAACATAAAAAAAATTTTCGTTATATTATATGCGTATATGTTATATGTATCGTATAAACGCGAATGTATGTACATATATCGTAGAACATAAATACGAATTTCTAATAATTTATTTGATTATTTTCAAGCATTTTTTATTTAAAATCTATTAAAGCCTCAACATGTTGACATTAAGAAATAAATGCTACCTGCATATATGTACGCATTAGAATGTAGTTAGGTATTTTAAATGCAAATTCATTTTTTCTTGATGCTAATCTCATTTAAGATAAGATTTTCGAAGAAATCCTCAAAGCATCTCTTGTAATTAGTTTGTTCACTTTATTCCGACTTTCAAAATGCGTTTTTCTTACAGATTTGATACAATTAAGGTTTTGAAATTGATTT